GACACAGGTTTATTAGGCTGCTGTCACTTTAAGAGCCAGTGTACTGATACACATCCAGACGGTTTATCTAACCACTGTGTGTGTGTGTGTGTGTGTGTAGCTCCAGCTGAATTATCTGGGTAACTACGTGCCGACGGCGTGGACGTATGAAAACGGGTGTGGAAACTGTGACGATGATTTGCTGGACCAGAGTCATCTTCCTGTGAGTGTCCACATCGTAACACAAACACAGTCACACTAGGGCTGTCACTTTACGTTCGAAAACCAACACAAGTTTCGAAAACGAAATTAGGGAATCGATTTTAACAGCTTTTCTTTTTTTTACCAAAAATGTGTTAAGGTGGACCGATCAGTACAGCACACAGAACATGTGAATGCTGTCTTTTCTGTTCACCAAATGCTTTTTAATATTCGCTAATGCTAGTGAACAAGCGCGCCGGTATGTGTTGCTAGTGACGTGTGTGTTCAAGTAAGCCAGAAATGCGCAGATTCTGCAATACGCTGTATTTAATCTATCATGAGGATCACGAGTTGCGTGTTTGCGCTAAATCCGCGCAGATTTGTCTTACACGAACTTCCCCAGCAAAGTGAGTGAACACAGAAACGCCAGATTGGCTTGTGATTCGACAGCGTTTCCCGCCAAAGCTCATTTGTACGCGCATCTGGCGGGTCGAGGGTGTTAATCTCAATCCCTGAATGTTGCGCTCCTGTTTCTCATTGTGCTGAAACTTCACGCCAGTAAATCATCAGGAATATTGCTGACTTGTGCGTCTCAAGCGCCTCTTTACGCTCGTCCTACTGTTAGGTGTCCGTGGATTTGCCTGTATTTGGTGTTGAAAATGGAAACGTCTTTAGACATGGAAAATCGATTCAATGAACACTTATGTCTCAAACATCGAACAGGATGTTTTCACTAAAGTGACAGCTCTAGTTCACACACAGTCGACATGAATCTGACAGATCTGTGTCATGAGCTTCAGGACTAGAGTCGGGGATCGTTTGAAATCTAACGATTCCGATTCCCATTTCGATTCTGCTTTTTGATTCCTAATTTCAATTTCATTAAGATTAAAAAATGTGTGTGTGTGTGTGTGCGCAGGACGAGGAGATGCCGCTGGTGCACATCGCTGTGTTTATCGAGCAGCCGACGCCGTTTCTGGAGGAATTCCTGGAGAGACTGGCAACTCTGCACTACCCACACACACGCTTACGACTCTTCATACACAACAACGTACGTGCGGCTCTTCCCACCAGAGTTACTTCAGGAGCGCTGAGAACACGACTATAGTTTGATACATATATTGAATTATCTTTTATGGTAACACTTAACCATCACCATGCCACTAACTAACACTTAACATGATGCATGTGACCTTCAGCTGAGGCCGTGTGTAAACCAAAGCTTGTTCTTACAGGTGTTTTCAATGGGAGTGTTTCAGCTGTACTAGTGAAGGCTCACGTATATAGTGCAGGGCTTAAAGTATTCCGGCACCGTGCCGGATCTCCGGCGTGCGGCCGTGGGAAAAAAAAAAATTGGGAACTTGCATGCGGTTTAATATTTTTGAGTCAATTGATTTCACCTACCAATCATATGAGAGGATCGCAACTTTAACTAACGTTACAAGCCTATCAGAAGCAGAGAAGGGCGGGTCCTGGCAACACACAGTGTGATTGAGATCCATACGTCACATTAGTGTCGTCGGTGAAAGCATGGAGCGCAAGTTCAAAGCCCGGGGATGATGTCCTACCCACGGGTGTAATTTCCAATGCGGACAGGGGGGAGTCGGGGGACATGTCCCCCCCCCACTTTCAAATTCGTTTGTTATGATTTTTAACCGCACGCCGTCATTGCCACGGAGGAGCAGGACCGAGCCTGTGTAAAATAGCTCACTGAAAGTTCTACTGAGCAGGTATAGCGGTTGCGACCATAGACTTTTAAAAAAATAGATTGCAACACAGTCAGTGATGAAACGCCAGAAACAACAACAGGTGACTAATGTCATCATGGATGAAAAGAAAGAAAGGAGATTTGAGTTGGTTGATTCAGGAAATTAGCTCAGGTCAGGATAATGGGTAACTTCAGACTGTTAGCTAAATATTAAATGTAGAACATTCTGTGTAGCTTACTAAAAAAAACATTCTGTGTAGGCCTAACTTACCATGAAAACTAGTCCACATCAAACCGCAGTATTTTCTGTCAGCAATGTATGACAGGTGCTGTCAACGCATGCGATTCATTTTTGTCCAGCTTTAACGTTTTAAAATATTTAACGCAATTAACGCAGCATCCATCCGTTCTTTCTGTCATCCTTTAGCCAGGGTTATTATTCACGGAAATGCTTTAAACCATTCCTGCACGACAAGACAAAAGAGATCGCGCTGTCATGTCCTCCTGTCCTGACACACACACACACACACACACACGACGCACAGAAAGACGCGCGCCAGTATCGAGTTCTCTTTCGCGCTTGAACGAACAATAGCACACACACTTATGCCA